TTTACGTTTCATGTTTCAAAATGCAAAGTTATCAAACTATTCAAATGATCAATTTGAACAAAGGAAACATATGAGTAAATCACCCATATAATTGATATTAGACATTGGTCACTCAATAGTTCAAAAGAAAGGAAACAAATTTAATCAATGCAAAAATAAAAAATAAATAAATAAATAAACTAAGACCTTCATTGGCCCTTTTGCATAAAATTCTCCTAATACTAAGAAAAACTAATGGAAATTGATTTGTCCTATTAGTTTTCATTTTTATTCTTTTTATTTGTTCCTTAGTTTCTTTCATATATTTTGAATATAAAAATGCACAAAAATATACTTTTGCATTAAATCATTAAATAATCATTGATACTTGAAGCTTACACCTATTTATGCCTCAAGCTACACCTCGTTCTAATAAATGCTTAAGCCTCACATCAAACTTTGTGAGGCTTAAGCTTAGAGAGAAAATCCGTGCACCTCGCCTCAAAGCTTAAGCCTTTTAAATCAATGCTTGAATGTGGGACCCACATGCAAGAATTACAATTATGTTATAGATGTATCTCTTGCAAAAATGTATGTCCCTTATAATAAGTTGGTAGCAACACAATCATCAAAATATATAAAAATATTGAAAAAAACAAAAACAAAAAAAAAAATTCAACCTAATTTTCTTGCCTAAGCAAAAAAGGAAAAATTAGTTTCTTTAGGGGTGGATTCGAACCGAGCCAAGCCGGATATTTGGCTATTCAAGCTCAGCTCATTAGAAAGCCATGAAGCTTAAGTACAATTAGAGCTAGATAGTTGAAATCGAGTTCAGCTCGATTCAAAAACTTGCAAGCTTGAGCTCGACTATGTGACAAGCTTCCTATAAAATTAAAAAATTATAAATATCAAAAAATATTTATTTTACATATAAAAAAATAAGAATTATAAAAACTAGTTATTATTATACATATAAAAACTAAAATATTATATATATAATATTTTTATTATATATATAGGCTCAATTAGACTTATGAGCCGAGCAATATTAGGCTCAAGATTGGATCAATTATAAAACAAGTCTATATATTGGGGTCGAGTTTGGTTCGAAACTCATTTTAGACTGAGCCAAATCAAGCTTTTCATGAGCCAAGCTCAAATGCCTTGTGAAAGGCTCAATTCGTTTCCACCCATAGTTTTCCCTACCTTTTCCATAGATTAACCAATAAGGGAAAACTAGTTTTCCATACATTGTAACAAGTTGAAAGCAGCAGAATCATCAAAATATGTAAAAATATATAAAAATAAAAATTAAGAAAACTATCCATCTAGTTTTCCTACCATTTCATAAGTTAACCAAACAATGGATAGGGAAAATATCCTATTTCTATTCCTTTCTACCTTCCCTTTCTTTTTTTTCTACCTAAAAGAGTTTTAGAAAATTTATTTTCTAATATTCAAATAATATTAAAAAATATAAAATATAAAAAATAAAAAATAAAAAATAAAAACAAATGAAAACATGTCTCTCTCATATATCAAATGTATAAAATAAAATGATGAAAGCAACTAATTTTAGAATGATATCAAAATTAACAATGAGGCAAATAGTTGATCAAATTGGAAATTTTGAATATTCATCATCTTAACTTAAATTTGCAAATTGATGATCACATGTAAATCGTACATTAGTTGGCAAAGATGATATTTATATTTTTTCTTAAATATAAAACTAGTATGAAAAATGATCTATTAAAAGTGGGTGATTAGTAAACTAAATCAATAGAAGTAAGAAAAAACTTTGTTACGTCAAAAATATTCATCTAGTTCTTTCATAAAATGTATAAACTATTCAAAACATATTAAACCATTAACATCCATATCAATAAACTACATCATCCTGATACTCATATAGCATCTATTTCCTCCAAAGCCATTTTGGTCATGAAACCATATGCATCAACCTAATTCATGATGATTGAAAGCAAATTCTGATTTGTGTTTGTTTCAACACTTTATTTTGTTCTATGCTAGTAAAATATAATGTATTATTCTCATTTGCACTCTTATAAATTGCACACTAAGTATGTTAGATTATGGGCCAAGTTGTGTTTCAAAATCCAGCAAAACCCTAGGGTTGCACTTAAGTTTTTAAGCTTTGGGATGGGCGAAAAAAATTGTCTGACCTAAACTCGGGTTGGTCTTAGATTGAACATGTGGGTATCCCAAACCTACCTGAGCCTAACCCAATCAGCCCTACCCAACATTTTATTTATTTTGACATAATGGGAGCAGCCTAACCCCCTAACTTCGGTGACAGCGGGATTTAATCCCAAGTCTCCTCTACAAACAGTCAAAGATCGATCTTATCATATACACCCTAAACTATATTTAGTTATTCATAATATGTATATGGTTACCTTCAACTTACACCCGTTCAGGAACATGTATCCATTTGTTAATGGAAATAGTGCATATCTTCAATCTATTCTATTATTAAATTGAAATAAAAAGCCCAAGATAAATAAATGCATTAAAATATATTCAAATAATACCTTCTAACCTGCTTGGACCCTGCTCAAGTTGTATCGGGTTAAGTTTTGGTTGGACCTGAGTTGGTAAATTCAGGGTTGACCTTAAGTTGGGCCAGGCCCGAGCTAGGTTTTGAGCCTTAGGGCTGGGTCTCATTACCTTAATCCTTACCCCCAAACCATCCAAATTGCACCCCTCATGGGTACCTGTCAATGATACCCAAAAATCTGAGGCTCGATCCCACATCCAATCCAATTCTCTCTTATTCGGATGATGTATTTATATAATTAGATCGGATTCAAATGTTACAATTCGCATCCGATTAAAATCCAAATCTAATTATATTGTAATATTTATTGATTTTAATATATAATTTTTATATAATTATATTTAAAAGTATGAAAAATATATTCTATATATTATAATATCTATGAATTTATATATATATATATATAATAAATTCAGTATGTTATATTTACACTAATTCATTATATATAAAAGTTGAAAACTAATTAGATTTTAAATTTTCTGATATTTTAAAAAATTAAAGTGGAATCAAATTAAATTCTAGTCCATTAGGATTCAAATTCAAATCTAAGGTCTTCAAATCCGATGAGATTTTGAATCAGATTTAGATGCAGGTTTTCAATAATCGGATCAGGTGCAGATTTTGCTGAATCTGATCCAAATCCGATCCGTTAATGTGTGTGGCAAATCTTCTTAAATAATCATATCTCGTGGCCTCGTGGGTGGGTCAGGTCCAATTAACCCAATGATTTAATAAGCCGGTTCTATAACTGTTAACCTTAGAACCTATGGCATTTGAATAAGTTAGACTTCCACATAAAACAAAAACCGGGTTGGTATCGGACCGACCTAGCCTGCCCATTTTGGACCTATTGATGGAACTTTTTTTCTACTTGTTTCCTTTTGATATATAACAGCCCCATTATGGTGGGAAAGCATTCTTTTAGTATATGTTTTTTTGTCTTTTTGTAATAATATTATTTTATTTTTGATTCACTATTTATCCAGAAATTATATTTAATTTAAATAATTAGACCAGGTTTAATTTGTAATTTTAAAGTATTTATAGTAACTTTTTTATTTGCATTAGGAAATTAAATTACAATGATCAATATGGTTCATATATCCTTCCAAGTGGATATATTTTTTTTAGGTAGCCATATGTCTAAAATAAGCTTGAGGTGAATACGTTTTTTATAGGCAGTCATTTGTCTAATGTTAACCCTTTTTCTAAGAGTAGAGTTAAGTATTCTCACTTTTTAGACTGGATAGACACATTAGAGAATAAAGTTTCTATTTAGGAGCGAAAAGCATTCACTTCTTAAATACTTTTTCTTGAAAAAATCAAATGCCATGTATTAGATTTGGGTAAATTACTTGTCCATGCACACCTAAAATTGCTAATAGATGATGAGACAATATTATCCCTTCAATAATGTCACTTTTTTGAATAAAGCAATCATTGTACACCTCTACCTTAGAATAAAAAAACACTAATAAATACATTTACTAAACTATTTACCAAGACATGAAAGAGGCCTTAATGTGTTTCAGAAAACTAGCTCATCTCTTTTTGACAAAAATCAATTCAGTATAACAAGTTTGCTGGTGTTTGGCATCCATGCCATTGTCTCAGAGCCATTTTCTGAGAAAACAATGCTGTGTAAATGAGGGTCTATTGCACCGTTTTCTGAGAAAACAGTTCCTTTTTTTTTGTTTGGCATCAATGCTGCCACATAGGATGTTTTCTGGAGAAACGGCACTGATTTTGTTTGGTACCAGTGTTGTATAACCATTTTCAGCATGGTCTACATTATCCAATGCCTTAGATGATACCACATTGGTGTCACATCATTGTACCATTGGCAGCAACAGACAAGAATCTCATAAAATTTCCTTGGACCATGCCTTCCCAATTTCCAAGGCATGGTTTTTCTGGAAAAATGGAACCAAACATCTCGCCGTTTTCTGAGGCAACATTTTTTCTGACATGGCAGTATGGCACCAAAGTGGCAACGTTTTTAGGAGCCTTTTTCTGATGAAGGTTGTAGATTCCGCTTGAAAAAGGAAACTAAAACTCATGAGTCATCACTAGGAATAAAGTTGATGGCTTTTAAGCAAAACTTGTCTGATCTACAAGGGCTACTCAAAACTGGAAATTTCTTGAAAATTTCTTACATCTTCAACCAGAACTTGTGAATATTTTACACTGAATTGCAATGCAGCTTATAGCACCTAGAGCCAAGGGGAAAATATTCAAATGACATGCGTCAAGTGTACTACCTAATTTAATGTAAACATTTTTTCAATCTCTAGTCTTAAATTCTTAAAACTATGCAATTACCGAACTCCAAGTATAATGACCATGTGTGCCCAAATAATAAAGACATACCGAGTCCGAGTGCTTTTTCTTTTTTGATAGATAACACCTACACCTTAGCTTTAAGGCACTGGGCACGCAATAAACAAAAAATCCAGAATCGGTGTCTGGAAATCCAAAACCTGTATTCTACGCATCTAAAGAAATTCATGCATACAAGGAGTTTAAAATGTCACTCGAAGAATTTATTACAATTCCTTTTCAGTTCCTCAAGCTGCTAGCTAGACAAAAAAAAATAAGAAAATTCTAGTGTTAACAATTCCTGTCTAGAACTCTAGATCTTTTAATATTACATTACCAGATGGATCTTTCTGATAACAACAAGTAGAGCTACGCCTTCTATTCCCCATTTTACCTAAGCCTACTGAGCCACATCTGTACTGCACAAAAAGGAACAGGACAACAGAGGGCATACTAGAAACACAAGTAGTCAGCTTCTGAAAACTAAGCTGCATTGCTGCAGAAGTGCTCGAACGCTAAATTATCATCTCTCAGCCATCACTTTTGATTGACTCTGTGTTAGATGCCTTCAAGGGTTCGGCATCAGGATTGCTATTAAGGTCATCTGCTCCAGACTCTTGTCCCTGATATTTCTTAAGTTTCTCCTGCATGGATACCACAATGTTTAAAATTATGGTATTTAAAAAAAACGAAGTTGTGGGTGTTAAAAAAAAGAAGGAACAGAACTATATACATTAGTCTTATCCTAGAAGGAATAATTAACAATTATTAGTGGTAGTGTACTTAGTCGATGAAAGCATTAAAATTTTAAAAACAAATATTGGGAAAACAGGGATAAACTAGTTCAATATCCTTGGCCGCTCATTTTTCATGGCCCTTATAACAAATGGATGTCATTAATGCATTTCTAAATGATAATCTACAGGGGAAAATGTCGAAGGAATTCAATCCTAGTGTATTTATTCCTAGTAAGTGAAGGTGCAGACTTAAGAAATTGATCTATGGTTTGCACATTCATGGCCCTTATAACAAATGGATGTCATTAATGCATTTCTAAATGATAATCTACAGGGGAAAATGTCTAAGGAATTCAATCCTAGTGTATTTATTCCTAGTAAGTGAAGGTGCAGACTTAAGAAATTGATCTATGGTTTGCACACCTTCACTCCTAGCGTATCTATTCCTAGAAGCAAAGGTGTGCAGACTTAAGAAATTAATTGATGGTTTGAAACAATATTCAAGAGCCTGGTTTGACAGATTTAAATGAGTTATTTAAAAGGTGAGGTTAATACAATACACACTGAACATTCTCTTGATGAAAAGGGATGGTGGCTCTATTAACCCTCTTGGTTTTTTCTATTAATAACTTGTTATCCTGAAGAGCAAATACCCAAAATCTCCAATATGCAATACCAAGCTAAGAATTTGAGATCAAGGATCCAATACTCAGGTATTTCTTGGGAATAGAGGTTGAGATTATGGAAGGACATCATCACTTCTTAAACAAAGTATGCCTCAGATATCTAAGGAGACAAGTAAACTTGGAGCTAAGCCAAATGACATGCCTATAGATCCTAATCATAAGAGCCATGTGAATGATAACGATGAGAAAACAGATAAGGAGATGTATCTAGCAATATGTTGGCAAACTTTTATATCTTTTCGTTTTTATCAATTCTGTTATATCTTTGCATAGCATGACCGGATATATCTTATGCAGTTAGCTGCAGTTAGCACGGTTGATCACCATATGCATCAACCTAGACAAGGGGTTGATCATTTCTAGCCTCACCTGGCCTAACCCACAATATATGCATATATTATATATGTAGTATATATACATATGTGACATGTATTTTATTTTATATTATATTACATAAATATTGTAATATGGCATATATGGTATATATTATATATAATATTTTACGTACAAAGTAAAAGTTATATTTTATACACACGTTAGGTGGAATATAATAATATAAAAATATTATATACATTCAATATGATATATTTAAAGCTATAAGCCCCAAATGGCCAAAACCTAGCATGGGTGCAGCTAAGCCCACCTGGCAACATACACATCTAATATGTAATTTTGTGATAATCAAGTAGTAATAAATATCCACAACAATCATGTTGAACATGACATACAAAACATATAGAAGCAGACACTTCCATACATTAAAGGGTTACCAATAGAGAGGTTTGCTCACCATATGTGAAAATGTAATATTCATACCTAGCTTGAAGGGGAGTGTTAAGAGGTGCCATCAGGAGCCATAATTGCCTTTCCATCTTTGTACCAATGGAGGGTTAAGTTGTAATTGTACTTTTTTTCGATAAGTAGGGCAAAGTTGTAATTGTCCCACGTTAGTATAACGTAAATGAGAACCATGCCCAATAATAAGGCCTCTCGTTCTCAAATTTCTTCTTCCTCTTCTCCTCTTCTTCGTCCCTCCACAAACCCATCACAAAATACTTGGCAGTTCACAGGTTAATACACCATAATCAATGTACAAGGCATAGTTGTCAAGGCGATGCCTAAGCGACAAGGCGCCCTTGGAGGCTCGCCTCGCCCAGTTGCCAAGCATTTTGTATATTTTCTTATAAAATACTTTTATGTTGTTACTTTTTTGAAATTATAATTATAAAATAGATGTCATTAAACAAAAATATTCATTTTTTATGTTTATAAACTAATTTCTTTTTATTATTTTCTTATTTGTCAAATCAACACATTTCTTCCTCCACATTTCTAATCAACACATTTCTTCTTCTTCCACCTTTTCTTTTCTTCTTTTACTATAACAAAAATAGGGGTTCAGTCCCCATTTTTTTTTTCTTTTCTTTCTTTTTCTTCTCATAAATATGTTGATTTTCTAGACTTAAACATGAAGTTTATAATTTTCTTATGAAAATTATGGATAGTTAGTTATTAAAAATGGTTATGGAACCTAGGGAACTACCCAAGGAGGCAAGGATATGTATTTTTTACTTTAAAAAATCCATCACCTAGGCAACACCTAGGCAACCTAGCCTCGCCTTGGCGCCTTGAAAACTATGGTTGGTAAGGTCTCCTGCTGGCCGTTGTTTAGCCCTTCAAAAGAAATTAAAAAAAAAACAGTAAAAAAGTCGTAGAACCTACCTTTCCAACTTTGAAATGAGCTGCTTCATTCACTTCTGATTAATTTTATTCAGTTTCTATACCTCTTATCAGGTTCTCTCTCATATTCACTTCTTTTAATTGGACAAATGCCAACTTATGCCACATTCATTATAGTAGGCACAACCAAATTTTTTTTCTTCCCTTTTTCTGGGGGGTGTAAGAAAACAATTGGTCAAACAAACAGATAAAACCTAGGATAAGTGATAGATATTAACATGACAGTTTCTCACTGCAGAGATTTCAGGACCTCAAAACTTAATCTTTCCCATCAAAGAAAAAGTAAATCAAAACCACAGAAGAAACTCACAGTAAGAGAGGCATTCTCAGATGCTAGTTTCTCACATTCCTCCCGTAAACGTTCCAATTCTTCTCTAAGTGTACTGTTCTCCTCTTTTAATGTCTCCACACGGTGGGCAAGTTCTTCACACTCAGCCTGGGCACAGGTGAAAATTATTATTAATAGAAAAGTATCCATGTTAAATTAAAAAAGCATAAACTATATAGCCACATTCCAACAATAATGTAAGAAACACAAAAGCAAAGCATCCGGCTATTTAATGGTTTGCAAGCAGTAAAGTATGGCTGACTGGCAGTGTATACTAAATAAGATAATTTTTCATACTAATGGTACAGAACATACTTAGATTGAGAAAGAACATAACATAAAGAAACTTCTACCTGTTTCCTGAGCCTTGAGCGCCGTGCTGATTCCCTGTTTGACTGTTTCCTCCGTTGCCTCTTAAGCTCTCTTTCATCCTGAGACAAAAAGTAACAACCTCAGAAACATGAATTCAAAGCGAAAAACAACCCAGAAGGAGGGCACACCTGTAACCAAGCTTCGGGATTTCCATCTCGAGATCCAATTTGATTTGAGGAAACTATGGCTGTTGAAGCAGGAATGACAGGGAGCTTCGCCCTAGTTGTAGCACTAGAGGAGGGTGCAGCTGCTCCCCAGTAGTCCATGCCAATGTTTAAGTTTGTTGTTGGACCAGATACAGCAGCTGGTGGCATTGCCATAACCATACTTTGGTTCAACATAGCCTGAGCCGGAGGTGTCCGTGTAACCCTGCTTGACATACTGCACGCAGTGCTTCCATTCTGGGTCCCAGCTGCAACTCACACAATCACATACAGTACTCAGAATAAAATTTTACAGCAAAGGAAAAGCATTAATATATCAGCAGGTCTTGAAGCTAAAAATTTACCATCAGCAGAACCTTGTTCACCAGATGGCTTTTGGTGAGAACCCTGTAGCAATTTAAACAGATGAGTATTGTGTATTTCTTGTTAGAAAACAGCAGAAGAAAAGTACTTTCTAGTTCACCAAGGAGATGATACTAGATCATGGGAACACCCGGCCACTTTTCATCAAGTACCAGTTTTATCTTTACTACATTTTCCTATCTTGTTCTTCCAAATTTCCTAATTTTACACCCTATACTCCAATAGGTTTTCACATGCCTACTTTTCCCCATCTCATTTGCCTACTCTCTCTTCACTCAAAAATATTTGCTTCAACTATTTACACTGTTAGAGATCCTAATGAATACAAGCTCTTCATTGCTAACCGAGCACAGGAAATGCTATGTCAAAATAACAGCATGCACTGCCAAAGACTACATTACCACAGGTAGAATATAGCTTCCCATGCCTCATTTTGTGTGTTATTGTTATTGGGGAGGCAGGGAGGCAGAGCTGTGCATCAAGGATCAGGAAACTTAATATCATCTGATATACTTTTGTCTTATCATAATGTGCTCACTGCTCAATCATGTCATTGAAGGAGACATCCAAGATGAATAGAAACACAGTTCAGGAATGTGTCCAAGTTAACACTTTTTTTTCCAGAGGTTTCATATTGTTTTAATTGAGTACTTATATTTCACAAAAGTGTTCTGTTTATTCTCAGAAAAGTTGCTTCTTAGTTAGTATCAGTGGGTGAATACTATATTGACCAATGGGCCATTGCTTGGTGAAAAGGTGAAGGCTCAGGCTGACAAGCATGAGAACACAAGCATGGTACCATTTTTTTCTTTTTCATTTACCAACTCTGTTACATAAGAGTAATTTTGAACTAAATGGCATTGGCCTGATCTTAAAAGAGAGCTATATTTTAATGGTACCAAATATGAATTTTGATGGCAGCATAGTTTTCAAGGCGCCAAGGCAAGGCTAGGCAACAGGGGGAGAGCCTTGTCGCCTAGTCGCCTAGGCAATGGATTTTTTAAAGTAAAAACATGTATCCTAGGGTAGTTCCCTAGGTTCCATAATCACATTTCCTTAATAACTATCCATAATTTTCATAAGAAAAGTATAAACTTCATGTTGAAGTATAGAAAATCAATATATTCCAACATATTCATGAGAAGAAAAATAAAAAAGAAAAGAAAATTCAAAAAATATAGGGGCTGAACCCCTATTTCTGTTATAGGAAAAGAAGAAAAGAAAAGGTGGAAAAAGAAGAAGAAATCAGTATATAAACACACAAAATTAGTAAAGAAAAAGAAGAAAATGTATTGATTGGACAACATTTTATTTTCTTCCTCACTTATTGGTTTGGGTTTTGAAGTCTTCGAGGGTTCAATACAGCATTTAGCAATGTTTATGTTGATTAAACCCTAACAAATAAGAAAAAAATAAAAAGAAATTAGTAATATAAACACAAAATGAATATTTTAGTTTAAAAATGTCTATTTTATAATTATAAACAAAAAAATTAAGAATATAAAAGTTTTTTATAACACGCTATGGAAAACTGCTTGGCGATTAGGCGAGGCATTGTCGCCTAGGCATCGCCTTGACAACTATGAATGGCGGACCAGCAAACAAATGGCTGAATTACCTTCTTTGGAAACCTAAAGTAAGGTTTCTATGAATATCCAAAAGAAAACAAGGATTGTTGGATGGGTTGTAGATAAGGTTTCAAGGCTTAAATAGCAGCAATTGGATGTTGTACGCAAGTAAACCTAGAGGAGTAAAAAGTAATGGTGAAATAAAGGGGGAATAATGTTTTGAGAATGATGATTTTTTTTTCTTTTGATGTGTTTTTTTATGAAAAAGGATTTTATTAATTCAACAATTCAAGCTAATACAAACATCACCTGGAGCAGCGTAAGTGTTGAGAACGATGACTTTATCACATGGTAATTCACCTTGTTTGGTTTTAATACTTGGTTTAAATATAACTGGCAAATAGAGCTGGACAAAAGAGTGCTTAAAACTTTAAGGAAAATCAGGGGAACTACGTCCAAGCTGTGTTGTTTATGGATTGCATAAACCAAATAACAAATATGACCAAAAAAGAAAGGAACATATAGAGGGAAGAAGAAAAATAAGAGAGATAGAAGGAAGATATTGAGGATCTTCCTCATTGCATAGCTTCTCACTATATGAGCTATACTTGCACAGGTTTTCGGAGTTAGTCTAATGCAAAATCTTAATTTTCCTCGGAAAAAGAAAAATAAGAGAGATGAAAGGAATGATTTGATAACGTAGAAAAGAATTAAGAAAAAATTAAAAAAACACTAACCTGAAAGGCTGAAGTTAATAATTGAGACCCAATAAATAAAGCCCAACAAGCACAAAAGAAGCATACTATGGAATAGCAAATACTCTAGCTAAGCAAGGGGTTTCAAGGGACCACTTACTCTGGACTCAGGTGTAATCTGGTGTTGAGTTCTAGGAGAGGCCACACCTTGCACCTCCCGGGTGGATATTTCTAACGTTGTTTTCAGTATTAATAAAATTTTCTTACTATTTATTAAAAAAATATATATATTAATTATTGAATTGAGATACAGCCTAATAGAGTCAGCACCATTAGGTTTCCCTAGGAATTGGCACCAGACAGCATAATGCAAGAAACAATTCATAATCCATCCATCATCTCAAAACTCAAAAGAATTTCTACAGAGATATTCTTAGATAAATATTGTAACTTCTTGAGACCTAAAAGGCACTTATTTACCTAATAAATAAACTAAACATAGAAATATTTGCTAACAAAGAAAAAACATCCAAATCTAATTCTTCATCATCATCTAAGCCTTATCCCAACTATATGGAATCAGCTACATGAATCCTGTTTTGCCATTCCATTCTGTTTAGTGTCATATCCATCGTTAAATTATAAGAGCTTTGAACATTTTTTACTACTTTAACCCATATCCTTTATGGTCTGCCCCATGCCCTTCTAGACCTTTCAACTTCCGACAGATCACTTCTAACCAAATTCTATCTCAATATCTATCAATTCTTAAAGATGCAATTAATCATTTACTTGATTTGATTAAGAGAATCACTACTCAACATACAAGACCCACTAGAGACTTTGTCAGACTTTTTAAATGGCCCTAGATTCATCAGCTTATGGTCCAAGTAAGCAACTTATCGGGCTTAAGCTTGCTGGTGCAACATTCTAAGCCCATGAAATTTAGCTGAATTTACATCCATTTGTGGAAACCAAATTGCTATTCCATCTTGACAATCACATTAAATCCCATAAGTAGAAAGATAAAGGAATGGATTTGGCTTACTTCTCTTGGATTTTAGACCCCCACATCAATCTTATATTCAGGTCTATCCAATTTCAGACAGGCTATAGTCAGCCACACTTTTAACTCTTGAAACCCCCTTCCAAAGTATGCAACTCTTTGGAGAATTAGAATGAAAAAAAAGGAAAAAAGAAAGCCTTTCTATCAGCACTAAAGAAAGCAAATAGAATCTTCTACCAAGCGAATGAAAGAGAAATAAAGCTAAGACCAGCTCAAGACAGCGACAAAAATAGGTAAATTTGACATCTTTCTTGGTGTTCAAATTTGTTATTATAGCTGGCATTCCAATCTGCAATACTAACCACTTTGAAATGGTATCTAAAGTAAACACCTTGTTTTGATAAGAAACTATCTCAAGTCCACACCTTTATTAACCACATTTCATCCAGGGGTGATCATTTCCAACCTGACCCAGCCCACAAATTTCCAGGTTCTTGACATAAATTTTATGTTCAATCCCAAATGACTCTCACATAAACTGGACCAGGCCTGAGCCCAATACTTCTATGTATGTATGTCTCCAAGCACGCATGCTTCTAGGCCCAGCCCAAAATTTCTAGTCCAGGCCTGGATGCCTTGCGGTCCCAGCCCAAGCTCATGCAGGGCTAGGCCTGGCCACTGAGCTTATATTCCAGAATTCAGACCTGGTGTGTTGGCAGGGCCAGGGCTTTCATGAAGCCCCTTATACCAGAAACATGGCTCGGCCCGCCCATGATCATCCCTACTCTCATTTCTCCCATATTGAGTGTATAGGATGTTCCATTTATGCGCTTTTTTTATGAATGATAATAAATTTATTAATTCAGAAGCAGATTTAGAGTGAGTTCATACAACATCC